AGTCAATCTTTTCTGCCAGCATGGCATCATGCTGTTGCCGATGAGACAAGGAGTGCTGCAGCGTGGGGCTATTCAAGCATACCCCGATAATACCCACAGTGCACTGCCAGCATCCTGAGCATCCTTGGCCGGCATTCTCAAGCAACGGGCCACGGAGCCGAAATTGCAGGAGGACTGGGGCCCAACGTGGAGCCAGCATCATGCGCATTATTGGGTCTTCCATTTCCTCGACACTACGAAAAGCAACCAAAAAAGTCTGACACTCCCACTGTCGAATTTATGCGGCAATAGGATCGCGTGGTGTGCGTGAACTCCTCTCCAGCATCATGAGCACCATTGGGACTTCAAAGACCGAAAGGTGCGTCTCAAGCATCATTGGGACTTGGCCCCAGCGAATCCCGCATTCTCGCGAAGAAACCAGGCTGCGATGATGCAGGCCCGGCAGCGACAGCAGATAAAGCTTCGCACAAGAGCAACCGGCACAAGCACGCGAATGTATCAACACGGCCTTGGCAAGCATGATCTCGAGCACTACTTACCATCGCCGATATTGTTTAGAACATCATAAACCGTGCTTTTGTAAGTGCTGTCATTGCTATAACTTGTCCTTGCGCTTTCTCCTTCCCAACTCTTGAGAAAGCAGATCTCCTCGCCAGGTATGGAGCTTCGGCCGGGATCTCGGTCTCGAAGACCTTAGATCTCTTCCTTCAGAGGGTGAGGGCAGAGCTTGGATTGGCTGTTGATCCTCCAGCCAGGCGTGCATAACCTAAACAGCAAGCAGAAGTGGTCATCTTCAGATGAAAGGATGCTCATGTCAACTATCAACCCATCCCAAGTGATGGAGGCTCGGGGAGGTAGCAGCCAGCGACTGGTAGTTCCAAAGGGGACAGAGCCAGAAATACTTCGGGCGGGTCGTCGGAAAGGTTTTCGAATCTAGAAACTGCCATGTCGTATTTTCATCACAACTTGCCTGAGCCTCGTACAGTAGAGACTAGACTCTAAACTAGACTTCATTCAACCCTTCAACCATAGAGGCACGTAATCACGAGTACCCTGCGAGCTTCCAAGTTGCTGTCGCACTATGCCAAGGAGAAGCGTGAGCCTGTGGAGGTCTGCGAGCGCAACTTTTCTTGTTTCTTGCGCGAGCACCCCAGGGTGCTACCCCGAGCAGGAGGAAGCCTTTAGAAGTTTTGACATGACATCAAAGTTAGCTTTCAGAAGAACTCGAGCCATCCGCCTCGAACAACAGCCATGCCATGCCACGTCACGTCGGATGGTGCCAGGTTTCTTTTGGAGTTGGAACGCGTCCGCCGCAGCCTCATCCCTATCCGTGCAGTTCTCGTCGGCACTAGCCATTCTGAACCGCTCAAGCCATGCTCTGGATTGGAGCTAACGACATCCATGAGCTCAAGTCACATTGGAGATCTGAGCTGCTGGACTCGACATGTTAATAGATGCACCTCCTATAATCATTCTGAGGAATAACGGCGTCACCCTCGCCGGATTCTGAGAAAAATGCTGCGACGTGCTTGTAGATCTGCCATCCCGGTGGCCTTCGCTCATGGTGACTTATCGTCTCATTCAAGGCAATTTCTACATGTGTCCTTCTTCTTCCTCGTAGTCAGCGGTGGGAATTGTCGTAGTAAGCAGGCGAAGAAGTAGTAGTAGCAGTAGTAGCAGCAGCAGCAGCAGCAGCAGCAGGAGCAGGAGCAGGAGCAGGAGGCCGAGGACGACGAGGAACAGTTGCAGTAGCAGAGTCGCGGGATCAAATCGGGAAAGCAGGTGGAGCCAACGGCATACCGCCGTGCGCAAGTAGCCGGGAGCCGAGGATCCATGCGTTTTAGGGCTCCGCGAGAACAGAGGATCCTGCCTCATGGACCGCACGAAGGGTCCTGGCTATGCAAACTTTGCAAAGAGGCTTGCCTCCTTCAAGCCATCCGAGCCCAAAAGTCTTTTTTGCGCATGTGCCACTCGGGCTGACTGCCTCCTTTCGAAAGTCTCTCAGCACGTCCGGCGGTGCAGTGGCTAAACATTTCTCAAGACTTCATCCCGGCTATTCGTGCAGTGGGGCGGCAGGACTCTTTTGCACCTCTCGAAGCTGTGGCTGCCCAACTGTACTCATCTCAGGGCGCGAGATCAGAGGCCTCGGAAACATCGCAGAGCCCGCAGCGACAGTGGCAAGGTGGCGACCCGACGCTCTGAGTCGAGGTTTGAGGATGCACTTGGAGGGTCTTTGAGGCTTGCGGTTTCAACTACTGTGTAGGTTCTGGAGAAGAATTAGATATGGCTAAGGGCAAGCTTGGTCTTGGCAAGGTCGAAAAATCCAATCTGAATAGGCCATGCGCTTCAAATGCTGGTTCTCAAGGACCATGTAGGATTCTGAAGATCTCCGAAGCAGACCCGCTCTAGACTCGAAAGTAGGCCGTAAACATCTAGCGTCATAGACCCAAATGCCATCAAGCCGGTGACCAACGTGCTCTCTTGTGCAGTCGAGCCGCTTACCGCGAACTCGACCAAAGCCCGTCCCTGGTGCCAGCAGGTTCAGGCGGGGGGGGGGGCTTCTGGGTTGAGGGCTTTAGGCTTGGCGTCAGGCGATCACTGGAAGGCGCCTTGTTGCGCTTCGTCCGGACCGTTTTGCCGTATTGCCAATTGCCACAAAAGGCAGGCCCCGAAAACGAAACCCCTGGCCAGAAAGAGGATTGCAACAAGTATTCACAGAGGCGGTTTCCTGTTGTTACTCGACACTATTCGCTAAACCCCACACCCTTAGTTCCTAGGGGCTTCAACGACACGGCAATCAGAAATTGGAACGGCAAGGAACTTCAATTTTAAATAAGGACTCAGGGTGTCGGCTCTGCGCGGCGGTTAGCACTATCTGAGCTGTCATGCCTGTCTACGACGCAAACCATGCTCTCAGGAAAAGCCTGCGACCCTCGGGGACGACAGTATAGCGGCCACCAGCGGGTCCGCACGCGATTCGCTGAGGCATGAACATAAACTACTCCTAACCTTGCCTATGCACGTGGTCACCGAGATTGTGCTATGTCCGCGGTGTGCACATAAATGTCGGTGTTGTTCAAGAGCGTGCTTGTTGCGTGTATTTATGCAAGTTGGTGCGTTTAGCAAGACAGAGTGTGGAGCCTGAGAGGGCATCGGTTTGCCTGGGTGTGAAGTTTCAGAGAGAAGCCCCCTCAGCCAGAACAAAATTGGGCGGTTGGAAGCCATTCAGTGTCCAAGCATGCTGCTGAGTTCCGGTAGTCGGTAGTGCCCTGCTTGGGTGCGGTGTAGCTACATGCATTGCTGCATGACAGATTGCTTGATGTGGATCTCAGGAGTCTGTGTCGCTCCGCGTGAAAATGTGAACCTGAAGTGTTGCATGCCTATTTCGTTCACAGTCCCTGCCCGACTCACTTATGCTCTTGCTGGTTTTTTCGTTTCAGTGATATGTGGTTTCTTCGTCAGTATTTCGTGTGAGGTTGTTATATTCGAACTCTCCTGGCCGGAAGCATGCCAAACAGCTTGTGGTGGCATGCCGCCAGCACTTTTCGGTTTGTGCGGTGTGCTAGCTCACTTCGGCTGTCTCAACACTGACGTCTGTCTCTGCTTGTGTGTGTGTGTGAGAAATATTGAAACAACGTCGGTCATTCGACTGTAGAACGCTCTGCCCACTCCGCTGGTCAAACACTCCGATGCAACATGGTGTCACATGACCTCGTCATTTCGCTGCCATACTGTACTTGTCGGCAGCCTCACGACATGCCAAGTGGCTCGTGTAGTTCCGGTCATGCGGAGAAGTCTCGGCTCAGGGGCCTCGCTGCTGAGCGAGATCGCCTCCAACGCCAGGCTTGCCTTCGATTCTGGGCGTTTTTACAACATCAACCGAAATGTGGTGACACGGCATGTAGCTGCATGTTTACAGTTTGTAGAACAAACAAGTCGGCAACAAGACATTCTTGAGGGCTCACATAAGTCTTTTCGGGTGGTCTCCCTTCTGTAAGCTTAAGTCCTCAACTCTGAATTGAAAGTCCCATACATTTATACTCGCCCCCGTTCGAATGTCAGGAAAACAGAAGAGAATTGACTCGAGAGTTAGAGGTCTTTTAGTCTTTCCCGTTCCTCGTGTGGCAACCGGCCCTTCAGCTTTGCCAGATTGTTAAGTTACGACAGAGTTGTTCTCATATATGTGCTATCGTTGCTACCCTGCTTGTTTGCAGGCTTGTTGGCCTTCAGGTTGTCACTCATATCATTGTCTGTGTCATTGTAGCACAATCCTGAATATCATTCTGACTAGTATGCCCGCCGCAAGCATGATCAGTGCAGTCGTTGTCCTTCTTCTCATTACAGAGGGTCGTTTGAATTTGCAGAACCCCTACAGGTGCAAGAGATGCGAAGTGATGTGTCGAATACCAGACAGGACTGGATCCAGGGGTGTGGTGAGAAACCCAGCAGGCTCAGTTCGCGAAACTACCCTGCACGTTCTCGCATGGACCTTTGGCGCCAGAGGACCTTTCTTCGCAACATGCGAGGCAGAAAGTGCAAACGGAGGAATTGCCTCCTGGCAAGCAGCTTTGCCCAGTACTGTACATCTCAGCTGAAGCGGTGAGGACTGTTGGTGCTTCGAAGGCTAGTTTTTCAAGCAGAGTAGGGCTGCAGGGAATGATTCACAGATCCGCATCGCAGCCGAGGCGGGGCACCCTGCAAGACTTGCAGGCAGAGGCGCAGAGACTCCAAACAGAGCAGCCAGGGCTCCCAGTCGGGATCAGGCAAAGGAGGAGCGGACTCTGCAGTTTTGCCTGAGAATCACGACATGTCAAGTACTAAGTGCTTCACGCTATGTCCAGGTCACAAAGGGTGCCTCACTGCATTCTGCTATTCTGAATGCCCCTTGCCTGTCCTCCAGTTGCGATTATCTTGCCTGTGATGTAACAATTTTATCATCAAGATGCCCCAGAGACCCGTGACCTTGCTTTTCGCAAAGCTCCGGTTTTTGCTGTGCCCAGGCGGCGGCAGGCCGCAGCTCTGAAAGGCTCGCTCAAGGCCGACGAGTGTATGCACGATGGTAGTGGTTTACCGGCAGCATGGCTACAGCCGACTTTTAGATCACTGTATTCTCTTGCTCCTGCTGTGTGTCCGCTGCCTTTACCTGTTGTGACAGCTGCTGGGGCAAGTTGAAGTTGCTGGTGCCACATTGTACGTAAGTCGTGCTACCGATAGCAATACGTACTGTATCCACTCTACCTTCGTGAGTGAGAGCAACGGTCACAGTAGGAGAGATTTTAGCATCGGCTCTGCTTGCTCCTGCTACGCAGGCGCCCGACCCCTCTGCCAACATGCGGCTGGAGAAACAGGCCATGTAACCTGCATTGGCGTCCCGTCCATTGCGTTCCCTTTTGCAACCCAACTTCAAATCAGAGCACCCTCAAAGGAAGCCCCGACCCCGTCTGGCAAGAAGCCCATGTGTGTGTGGTGGAAGGGTATGACAGCCCACATCGTGGTTTTCATGAACAGCGGGTGGTAACCAGTTGCACCAGTAGGTTTGGACAAGGTGCTGTCCACTGTGCCTCTGCACCACGGGCCCATTCAGAGTGGTCCCCCTTTTGCAACCGAAGCCCCCAATCAAGGAGCATACCTGAAAATACGCAGGCTTTAGTTTAATAATTTTAATATTGTGAGTTAAGGAAACTCCTTAGTCAAGGCGTATTGGCCCATCTGGAGGGTCTCTGCCTCGCCTTCCTCCAGGTGGAAGGCGTCGTGTCGATTGTGAAGGGCCAGGCTGGTTCCTCCCAAGAAGCTCATACAAGAGGGCGAGGGTTTGATGAGGAGATGCCGGTGGTGGTGATGATGATGATGATGATGGCGATGGTGGTGATGATGATGATGATGATCAATAGCACTCCTAGCATCAGAACCAACACCGAGCCATTCCAGCAATACCACTAGTACCAGCAGCAGTGGCAAAGTGGTAAAATGAGAAAGGCAGGTGTTGAATCTAATAATGACGGCAGCATCAAAGTGTGCGATCCCGCCGGAAGCACGTGGAGAGCGTTGGCCCCACTGAAGCAGCCATGTTTGTAGTACTCGCGCAAAGCGGGATCCCACCAACACCACGAAGTATCCAAGAACGATTCCCTTTCTTGAGGAGGAGCGTTTCGAGCGGCTCGAGACTGACATCACCTCTGCCTATGAGTCTCAAAGGCCTCGATGCCCCGATGTACGAGTTTTCCTGGTCATTGGTTACTGTCTTCACTGCTAGAACCAATTCTGCAGTCGCGCTGGCGCCATCTACACCCAATTCTTGTCATGAGAAGGGCGGGTCTTTCATGCGAGGGTGGCTCCAGACGTCGCAGCAGTTTCAGTTAGTGGCACCACAGGTTGCTTCGACGTTAAACCGATTATCCTAAGACGTTCTGCGATGTACGAGTGCCATAACATAGATCACATGCTTACAACAAGAACCACCTGCTCAGTGGCGATGATGGAGAACCAGCCAGGTAGTACCCATGAGCCTTCAATTGAACGTTGCAGGAAGCAGCTGCAGCAGGCACTTGCAGAGAACAGGCAGTGGATTGAGTGCGCTGCATGCTGGCCGCGTGAGTGCTCAACAAGTACTGTCAGTTTCCCCAAAATTTAGCCATGCCGGGCTCCAGCCTGGCCTGGCCGCAGGCAGCTTGCCAAGGGTCTTGAAGAAGACTCGATGAGGCCGAGTGGCTCCATCTGTTTGACATTTCCATTTCATCAGCTGCACGTTTGAGTATAATTGTCATGAGACCGCTGGAAGTTCCAGTGTGTGTAGGTCCAGGTTGTGTCCGCGAGCCATTGGCAGGAGACAGAACATGATGGCAGAACTCATGGAGAAGGCCGGTGCATGTCCTCGACTCGATGACTTGATGTCTTTCTATGTAAGTTATTTATTGCCATTGTTGCTGGCTTTTCCTCGGCATTGGCAACGGCAGTCTCGTTCATGCTGCTGGCATGTCTACTGTTGCTCTTAGGACGACGACAACGCGACTACTTGTTCGACTCCTTGTCCTCTTCGTCCTATTCTGCTTTTCTTCTACGGTAATGAAAGCAACGATGGAGACTTGAATTGCACATAGTGAGCCCGAGCAGGACGAAGTACCGAAACTACATTTATGATGGGTGCACTCGCCTGTTGAGCCCCCTGGCCGCTAGCCGATGCTTCATACTGCCCCAGCAGGTGACACGCAACTCTGCAGCCAGCTCGCCCAGATGCAGGGATTTCCAACTCCACGCGGTGCCAGCAAAGCGAAGCCTTTGTGTAGGGTTCCACCTTGCAAGGCGTTTTAAGGTAGGATCTGCGACCTGTAGACACTCGCAAGGTCCCGTGACATGCAAGTAGTGCAGGTCTGAAGAGCTTTAGTGCCTGTATCTCTTCTCAGGTGAACCAGCTTTCTTCAGAGCTGGCCAACGCATCGACAGTGATTCAGGATCTCCCGAGCAAGAGTGTCGCAGTCAGGGCATTGGGTTTGTGCCAAGCAGACCAAGTGTCCATGCAATGTCTACGGATGATGTTTTAGTCGTCGCTCTGCTGACAATTGTTTGGCTGCGCACGGTTTGTGGCAAGCTGCAAATCGGCAGGGCCAGACTGCAGACTGGTCTGTGCTGTCTCGGCAGATTCGGCAGGACTTCTCAGGGTTGTCAGTCTTCAGTCTTTAGTTTTGCAGTCGGTTGCTTCGTCAGATGACAAGGCCTTTGTGGCCGGGTGCTTGTGTGTCATTGTAGGTGCGAGAGTTTAGGCGACAGCTTCCAAGCCGTAAGCTCCCTGGAGTTGTGCGCATGAAACTGACATGGAAAGCCGTTAGAGCCGGTGCGGACATCGGCTGAGCCAATCGCCAATCATGGTTTATCCAATGTTCAATTCGTTTTTTTCTTGTTGAAGTGGTGCCTGCACCAAGAACCAGTGCTATTGCATGCCTTTCGTCCGTTCACTCCTTCTCCGTCGAGAATTGGAAGAGGCAGCGGTTGAGAGATGGCCTCCGACCAAAATTCATAATCCAATTTGCTGACAGGCAACGTCACTTTTTGTCAGACTACCCCTCTGCAGCCAAAATGTCGAACGGCCCCGCCAACACCCGAGGAGGTAACAGGCCTTGCAAACGAGATGAAGGTCTCGCGCTTGGGCAACGGCAAGATTCCAGGGGCTTTTATTAGGTTCATGACAATACCTTGGCTAGAAGCAAACTTCAACTCGTACAAGAAGAACCTTACAAGAAGCATGGAACACTAATTCCTAAACCTTGAAAGCCTGACAATCCTAAACAGAGTACAGCAGACTGACTGGAGGCTCTGATTTCTCATGAAGATCGCCCGACCTTAGTTGAACAGCGATCTCGGAATTTCTGCTCGATCTTCTGTTCTGTGTTGGGATGTCCGCCAGAAGCTATAGCTCCCACAGCTTATGGTTCATACTATCTAGAGAGCGGCTGGAGCTCCGTGCGCACTTAAGGTTCAAGGGGTTTTACCTCTGAAGCGGTTTCATGGTTGGCTCGCTTTTGAGTCATAGAGGGTTTTCGCGTTTTCTGTTGGTGTGCGGGGGAGTGGGGGCGGGGGGAGGGGGGCAGAGGTTAGGGTTTGGGGTGTAGACATTGGCCATTTTAATGCGTGTGCATGGTTTTCCTTACCAGAGCATTCTTGAAACTTCAACTTTCTTAGGGAAGGCTCCCCAGTTCCCGAACAAGTCATCGGACAACTCTTTCTCTAAAACCTTGGAAGTCCCGTCCTCGAAGCCGTTTTGGCTCCTCTAGACAGTCTGACATCTCCTCATGTCTGTCGCCAACCACACGTTCCATCAACGCGACGGACGCTGCAAGCTGGTGGAGGAGGACGAAGCTGTGCAATGCAGTGCGGACCAAGTGGCCAGGTGGGAAGCGAAGCAGAAGCAAGAATGGAGCGAAATGTATCAAAAGGTCCGGGTGCAGAAGTCTAACCTGCAGAAAGCCAGGACGCAAGTGGACAAGTTCCTGCAAAGCCACGGCATTCACAGTACTAGCTTCGATGTCAATGTGCCCAAGAAGTCGTTTGGAGGGCTGTGCCGAACCTATCCACTTCATCTCGCCGCAAAAGAGAGAGACTGGCACATGGTTCGTTTGCTTCTCCACTTCGGCGCGAACCCCATGCAGCGGGACAGTCGTGGAAGGACTCCCTGCAAGTGCATGGAGCAACTCGCCCAAGCAGATTGATAAGAGCTCAGACGAACACAAAGTGTTTAACCTTTAAGCTTCTAATTGCATGATTGTGCTCCGATTGGAAGTCGAATTGCTCTTTGGGCTATGGCATTGGATGTCCGGATTTCCAACGCTAGGCAATGCCTGTAGCAGGAGAGAGCCGTAATGCGGGCTCATAGGTCCATTTAGACAGGGCCGGCCCAATGCTGTGTCAGTGCATACAGAGATGCAGGTGCAGTGATCCAAATGCCACAGCCACACCTTTTCTCTTGTGCAGGACAGGAATTCGAAAAAACTCGTCCTCCGAATCTGCCTCTGTTTCTTGCCTCAGGTGCAGGGGCAGACATTGACATGGGCATGTGCTTTGCCTGACGTGTAGACTTACAGCCCAAGCGTCGAAAGCAAAGTTCCTTCCCGTTGTTCACAGAGGCAACAAGCAGCGGTTGAACTTGGGCTTGGGCCCAAACCACTGGCCGTGTGGCGAAAATTCCACGGCTTGGATTGCATTGGCTGGGACGCTGGGACGAACAGGCACAGCTGGTTTGGACCGGGCTATCATCTCGGGTCTCGTGTTGGATCCCACCGGCAGTGCATCAGACAGAAATGAAGACCGCATGTTGTTCATTTACAGGCTTACTTTTGTCAGTTCCAAGCTTTCGAGCCTGGGAGCTGCTGATGGCATGGAAGTCAGAGACATGGGATCGTTATCACGATGTGTATTACTACCCAAATCATGAGTGACTGTCGCCATAGCGACCAATGCAGTATCATGGTCTAGATCACTATCACTACTACTACTACTACTACTGCTACTACTACTACTACTACTACTGCTACTACTACTACTACTACGACGACGACCACCACTACGACCACGACTGTGACCACGAGGATACTGCTGTTGCTACTTGTACTTGATACTTGAACTTTTGATGCTGCTCTCTCTGCTCTTCTTGGTCAACTGCGATTGCCATCAGCAGTAACGTGGACACGAGACTTCTGTTACTGCTACATCTGGCACCTTTGTAAGAGTTAGCATGAGCAGGATTGCTGTTAGTATCAAATTCATTTTCATGTATTGAAGCTTAACTGTTCTATTGGGTTGACATTAACCTTTGCCTACGGTTGCTAGTCCTGTCTTTACTACTGTCGGTCTTTCGGTTGTCATCATCAGTGTTGCTAACATTGTCAACTATCGTGCGCGTGAGCATAGTGACGCGCAGAATATGATTGGGACGCTCATTTAGCCTGTCATCCTCAATGCGATTGTCCGCAGAAAACACAGGATGTGAAACGGTTCCCTGCCCAGGCGGATCGTGAATCTCGCGCATTGGAGTGCGCTTCCAATCGTGTGGAGGTTGTGAAGTCTGGGCCTTATAAGCATGTGGTATACTGCACGAGAAGTTTCATTTTCAGGAATCTCCTGTGACGTTGTGCGCTTGCCAAACCGGCCCACAGGATGCTTATGGCTGTTGCCTTCCTCCTTTGGACTTTGCTTCTAGTCACCTCATAATCTTCGTTCATTATTGTTTCCTGAGTACCAGAAACAATGCTACCATTTCTTTGATTTTTATACCAACTTGTGCCATGATAGTTTCAGGACCACTTGTTTTAGATCATATTTACCGTTACCCCAAAGCATCCACCACAGTACTCAACCCAACCACAGCAGGATGGTTGAAGATGCTCGTCGTCAAGGTGTTGGGAGCTTGGCTTTGGACTTTGTTGAAGATTGCTGAAGTAGTTGAGGGATCTGACACAACTCAAGTCTTCCAGCTGCAGCCTGGACGACTCTTAGAAACAAGGCTTGAGAGCCGTGGCCGCGTGTCGACCACAGCTCTAAGTATGTCCCTGAAGACGACATCCGTCCCTGGGGACCAGGACCAGAAGACTTCGGCCGGCCTTGGCCGACCAGGTTTATGGGGAGTATGAAGGATGGTGATAGTAATACCAGCGGCATTATGATCAGCATACTAGTACGTATGTTAAAACAGTAGTGGTGGCAGGAGTGGAAACAGTTGTATTGGCAGTAGTCTTAACGATCCACGAACCTGTAGTGGCAGAACCATGAGCAGGTTTCGTACCTCTCGATACAGTGAGGCCATGGAGGCGATGGGACTTCATGATCAGGGTGGAGTGCCAGACTTGTATCTGCCAGCGGGCGCGGAGGCAGGTTTATGGTTTAGGGTTCGGGAGGCCTAGAGGGCAGGGCTTGGCTTGATCAGGGTGACCTCATCTCAGTTCTGCGGGCAGCTCCCGGGATGGGTTCTTTGGCATCATCGCAGGTCAACATGCGCCCGAAGGGTCTAACCATTTGAGATCCATGTACGTATGTACTGTCTATATAGACGTATAAAGTGGCCTCATAGACTAAGAGACAGTGTACTGGATGTAAAGATTATCAAGCAATGAGTAAGTGAACAAATACATAAATGAATATTTAAATAATTGTATATATATATATACACATATAAAAACACACACGCACACACACACACATGAGCATTGATCTGAAGGTCCTTGTCTGCGGACTATATGTGCATTTTAGTATATATGTATACATATATATATATATATCTATATATATATGTATAGTATGTCCATATGTATATACGTAAACACACATATATGTATACATGTACATCTATATACAGGTATGTATGTACGTTTGC